TCCTTTCGGCCTACGCCGCTGCCCTCCGGCAAGTTCCAGAGGCGCTGCTGCTGCTGCTGCAGCTGCTGGTGACGCCACAGCTCCTGCAGTACCGCCAGCAGCAGCAGCACCAACAGCAGCAGGTGCAGCAGCAGGATGATCTACTAGCCCTGGGCCTCAGCAGTTGCATGCACTTGGCGCGCATACTGGAAGCAGCAGTTTGCCTGTCGCTGCACCTCCCCAAGGCTAAACAGCAGCAGCAACAGCAGCAACTGTTCCATCTACAACAGCAGCAGCAACAGCAGCAGCAGCAGCTTCTAGCAACGGGCGACTTTATTTCTTTCTTAGCCGACTGTCTTTGTGAGATGATAGCGCTGCAGAGAAGGGTACTGTCTCCTTTGCTGAGAAGGAGACAGCTTGCTTCACTGAACTGCGACGAACAGCAGCAGCAGCTGCAGCAGCAGCTGCAACAGCTACAGCAACAGCAGCGTGGCCTCGTGGGCATCACAGCTATCTGTGCTACCCACCTCCACCATCCCCGTCTATTGGCTGAGGCACTGCAGCTGCGTTTGCTGCTGACTGCAGCAACAGCAGCAGACGCAGCAGCACCAGCAGCAGCAGCGAATGCAACAGAAGCAACAACAGCAAACTCAGCAGCAGCGGATCCTTTGTCTTCCTTGGCTCCTTCTGAGGAACTTCAACTCGCGCGGTTTGTTGCTTCTGTTCTTGTGGGAAGCTATTCCCCTATACAGCAGCAGCAACAGCAACAGCAGCAGCAGCAACAGCAGCAGCTGCAGGCTTGGGATATGCTTGTCGTTTTGCTTGGGGGTCAGAAAGCAGCAGCAGCAGCAGCGCGCGCTGGGCTTCGTGCGGCAGCAGCGAGAGGGGAGATAGAGGAGCAGCAGGACCCGGAGCAAAGGCAGCAGCAGCAACAACGCATGCAGCAGCTGTGGACAAGCGAGCAGCAGCACGGGTCGCGGCCGTCGCTCCGCATGCAGCTGGAGGTTGCAGCAGCACTAAACAGCAGCAGAGTGCAGCAGGAAGTCCGTAGCTGCCTGTACACCGTAGATCTGCTGCTGCCGCCTTTGCCGCTGCTGCCGCTCTGCTGAATGTCCAGATTAAGTGCGCCCTATTTCTTCTGCTTAGCTCTTTGATGCTGCAGCAGGAGCAGCTGCAGCTGCTGCTGCAGCTGCTGCTGGTGTGTGGGCAATCGCATGCAGCATCTTTCTGCTCTGCTTGCAACAGCAGCAGTGTTTTTTGCTGCAGACTACATCTATAGGGGAGTGTGGAGGTTGGGACGTTGCTCCTAAACCCTAAACCCTAAACCGTAAACCCTAATCCCTGAACCTCAGGGCATTTTGTCTGTTTCATTTAAAAGAAGATTTCTTCCTCGTTTTTTTTAAATAAGCAGATTCATGATGCTGGAGGAGGCGTCGTTATGAAGGGGGTTGGGGCTTCTTTTGAGCATCATTGGAGTGTTGTACGGTCCTTTCCTTAGGGATTAGGGTTTAGGGTTTAGGGTTTAGGGTTTAGGGTTTAGGGTTTCGTAGTGTTGTATGCAGTAGCGGTTGGGCTCCACCCCACGAGGGAGCCGGGCGTGGTGAGCGGCTGGTTATGATGTTTCTGGGGTTTGTATGAGTGCAGTAAGTAGTAAATCTGAGTATAAAGGCTTAAAATATATTAAATTTGATGAAAAATAAACAAAATATTGCCTAGAACAAAGAAAGAAGACAAAGGGGTGCGCACACACAACCCTTCGCCTATAGCCGGACCGCTAGCTGGAGGAGCGGAAGGCTGTGGAGAGACGAGGGGTAAACGGACGAGTATTTTATTGAATAAAAGAGGCAAATAGATATAAAGAGTAAAATAAAATATTTATTCTTTATATATTCTGAATAATAACAGTAAATTCCCCCAAACATTGCTGCATCAACTGCTGCTGGTCCGGTGCTCCCCTCAGCTGAGCGACGTCCCCGGTTGAGGCGGCCTCAGGTGTATGTACAGCGATAGGGGGAGAACAAATAAAATAGATTTATTAAATTAAAATAGATCTGTGAACATTTACTATAATTAATCAACAAAAATAAAAGATTTATGCACGCTAGCGACCACAGGAAGCCTGCCTGCTGCTGCTGGGTACGGGGGTTTGGGTGTTGCAGCGCAGCAGCAGCAGAATAGGTCTGCTGCTGCTGTTGCTGCTGCTGCTGCTGCTGCTGCACACATCGTGGTTTCATGTTTCTATTTTGACTTTTTTTGGCGTATATTCGAGGTATTATTCTAGACTTCTTTCTGTCTCCTCTTATTGTCCTTTGTAGAGCCCCTTACCCAGCGCACAGCAGCAGCAGCATCAGGAGCAACAGCAGCAAGATGGGTTGCGTTAGCAGCAAGCACGGATCTACCCCGGCAGAGAGGCCCCAATCGGCTCAGGGTAAATCTTCCAAACCCTAAACCCTAAACCCTAAACCCTACTTCAGATTTTCTTCATCGCTGGCTATGTCCCGCGGCCGACGTCCTGTTGTTTCTCCCCGCAGCAGCAGCCAGCAGCAGCAGCAGCAACACCAACAGCAACACCAACAGCAGCAGTGACAGGAGCAGCTTCAGCGTTCTGCGTATTCATAGTCATACATTGAATTTCTGACCTTTTGCATGCAATGTGTATTGAGTTCATCGTTAGAGCTGCTTTTGCTGCTGCTGCTGATATTGCTGCTGCTGCTCCATTGCGTCCCTGTGAATTGCTGCAGCTGGAGCAGCAGCAGCAGCAGCAGCAGCAGCAACCTGCTGCTGCTGCTGCTCCATTTTTGATAACCTTTCTGCTTTAAATCCTTCAGTTGCTTCTAAGGGATATTAACGAGCTGATATGTGTGCGTGTGCTGTTTGCTTGCCGCAGCTGCTGCCCCAGCCGCTCCTGCTGCAGAGACAAAAGAAGCTGGAGCTGCTGCTGCTCCTGCTGCTGCAGCTCCTGCAGGAGAGGGTGCTGCTGCTGCTGCTCCCGAGAAGGCGGCGGAAGGCGCTGCTGCTGCAGAGCCTGCTGGTGCAGAATCTGCTGCAGCAACACAACCAGCAGCTAAGCAAATCAGCGTAGATGTCTCAACCCCGCCTCCTCTGAAGAACCCCCCTCCTCCTCCTGTTCCAAAGGCCTCTCTTCCTGCTGGTGCTGCTCCAGCTGCTGCAGCTGCACCAGCAGCAGCAGCAGAAGAAGCTGCAGCACCGGCACCAGCACCAGCAGAGGGGGAAGCACCGGAGAAGCCTGAAGCAGCAGCTGCAGCACCAGAAGCAGAGAAACCGGCAGATGCGTAGACACCCAAATAAAACTAATAACGCACCCGCGGCCTCAAAGGCTTACCAATCCCTCACACAGAAGAAACAGACAATGCCCCTTGCTGTTGCTGCTGCTGCTGCAGCAGCAGCGGCAGCAGCAGCAGCCTTAGCAGCAGCAGCAGGTGAGAGAGGACTCTGCAGGCTCCCGTCCCCAACAATGATTCGTGCGCTGCAATGCATATGTGCTGCTGGACGAACCCCGCCAGCCCCAAACATGCATGCATGCATGCATGCATGCATGCAGCGAGGGACGTCTCTGCCTCTGCATGCATGCGCCTATAAATTCTCTGGAGCAGCAGCTGCTGCTGCTGCCGCATAAGTACGCGAACTAACAAACTGTTTTGCTGCACCTCTGCATGCATTTATGCATGCATGCATTTATGCATGCATGCATGCAGGTGAAGAAAGGCCAGGAGTGTCTCTGCTCAGGCGTCGTGTTGTGGGGCTTCTCCCTTCCGGCTGTCTCCTTTGCTGAGGCATCTCCCCCTCGGTAGCGTTCTTGTTGCAGTTGCTGCTGCAGCAACTGCTGCAGCAACTGCTGCAGCACCTGCTGCAGCAGCTGCTGCCCTGTGTGTTTGGGTGCTGTCTCTCTTCAGTCCCCTTGCAGCAGCAGATATGTAGTTTGCCCAGCATGCAGAAATACTCAGGGACTAAGAAAATTTTAACTTTAAAATTTAAAGGGAAGCGCAACTTCCTTCGTTCGGTGTACGTACACCTGGTTGGTATATATATATAATATATAATATACTATATAATATATATATATATACGTACATATAGGTGTATATATATATATATTATATATTATATATATATAATATATATATATATATATATTACAGTATATACACTAGGATGGGGTGTGCGCATGCCCTCCATTCGGGCCTGCTGCTGCGGCTACACCGTAGGATAGCAGCAGCAGCAGCAGCAGCAGCAGCCATGCAGACAGAGGAGGCACCGAATAGACAGATAGCAGCAGCAGCAGCAGCAGTTTGTAGGTTGCGCTTTTTCCTAGTTCTCGTTCTTGCGCATCCTCGCTCCTGTTGCTGCTGCTGCTGCTGCTGCTGCAGTGTCAGAGCAAGGCATTCTTTGCTGCTGCTGCTTGAGGGAGGTCTAGGGCGGAGATAGCGAAGTCGCAGTCTCTTTGAATAGCAGCAATTAGGTGTGCTGCAAAGCAGAGACACCGCAGCACAAGGTGTGGGGTGTACGCGCATACGCAAATAGAGCTGCTGCTGCTGCTGGTGCTGCTGCTGCTGTTGCTGCTGCTGTAGTTGCCTTCAGGGGCACCGAACTAGAGCAGCAGCAGCAGCAGCAGCAGCAGCAGCAGCAGCAGCGTGGGGTATTACTGCACCGGCCTTAGGGGCCAACCGAGAGCAAAGCGAGAGACAGCAAAGCGAATGGAGACAGAAGAAGGAGACAAAAAAAACACAAAACGGAGACACTGCCAGATATAGACAGAAAAGATAAAGACAGAGACAGAGAGAAAGAAAGAAAGGCAGCAATAAACACAGAAAAAGACAGAGACTGAGAGAAAGAGAGAGAGAGAGACAGAGAGAGAGAGAGAGACAGAGACAGAGAGAGACAGAGACAGAAAAAGAGAGACACCCAACGACGTATACAAAAGGAGACAGCAAAACAGCCAAAGGGAGTCTCTTCAGTGCACCGCAAATAAATAAGAAAATAAAAATAATAAAGAGACAAAT